TTTTCAAAGAAGGATGCTTCGAAGCGTGAAGTCGCAAGCAGGCACAGGGAAGAGGAAGCTGCTGGGTTCACGGCCGGGCCCTCCTCGTCAAAATAGCCTTGCACGGGAAATCTCAGGCGGCATAGGTACAAGTACATTGAACTACCCGCAAAGTCAATTCGCCTCGGCTTCCAGCCAAGAAACGTCTAGAACAAGCAGACCAGGCTCTGGTTTCCTTCCACCCTTCCCAACCCTTCCCCCCCCCCCCCCCCACGACTCCCTACAAAAACAATTCTGACCTGTTTCTTGCCGGGCCCCTAAACCCTCCCCTGAGACCCCCCCTTTGCACCCTCCTAGGGCGGTTGCACTGCTACACCCTGTGTTGGGCCAGCCCGGCTGCCGAGGCGGCGCGCACAAGCGTTTACAATTAACCCTCAGAGCACGCTAAGCCATCATTGAAACAAGTGGTGAACCAACTTGCTTCTGATATTCTCTGACCAGATCCCTGAACGTCTGCATGGACATGTACATATTTATATGTGGATACACATGGACGGCAGCAGAAACAGGAGCGCTCTGCCAGACTGTATCCGAACACTCGCGGGCTCAAACCTCTGCCTAGCCAAGTGCCCCAACCAAAGTTTCTGCAGCCAGAGGAGGCTGCCGACAGCTTGATTCAGTGGGGCAATGTTAGTTTGAGTTTGTGGCGGCCTTCACACCGACGCCATGGCGGATGGAGGAGTTGAATGGAATTTTGCAAAGCTTCGGATTCCTGTTTTCACGGGCTTCCTGAAACCTCATCATCCTCATCAGAGGCCACAGGGGCCGAGGCGGGCGCACGAAGCTGTTAAAGAGCATTTGACACAGGTCGTGTGTGCACTTGTCTCTCCACTCATGGAATAAACCGGGTAACCCGGTAACCCCTGCAACCGTTGAAGCTTAAGCTTCGAAGCTTCCAGATTTCTGGGCGCCCGGGCTCTCGGAGCTGATTCTCAGAGCTGCCGGGCGCTTCGAATCACTTTGCAACTCCTTCACGGGCTACACGGATACACACCATGCAAGATGCGGACACGCAGTGCATCGTCTATTCATACTCTGTGCGTCACTATCACAAACAAAGCCAGCAGACCTTCGTCCGAGTCTGAGATGGTTGCTTTGAGACCAGCTTCTCCTGATCGCTCGGCAAGGGGCCACTCGCCCATGGTTCCCTAATTTCTGATAGTGAGGGCCGATTCACCGCCTGAAGGCTACACCCTCGCATGACTACAAAAAAAGACTGGGCGCGACGCCGCTTTGCTCGTCGAATGCCTGAGCTTGGCCATTCGTGGCATACGTATCCAAGAGTCCATGCAAGAATCAGGATGCAGAACATTGCAGAAGGGCGACTTGCAGCGGGCACGTGTAACGCTTCTTCTGAGGATGGTGCATTGGGCTTCGCCGCGTGCCGTGGCTGCTGACCTGACATCGAAAGACTGCAGCAGGAACCTGTGGAAATTAGTCGGACGAAAGTGTGCTTTATCCTTGATGAACTCTCACGCCCGCCATGCTCACACCCATCTTCAGATGCCCTTATCTTGTCTTCGCCGCGGGCCGAGTGGAAAGACGAGGTCGACCGCATCATCCTGTCCGCCTAGCGCAGCGCGTCATTTCAGAAGCTCTAGCACCTGGTATGTCGACTGAGTACAGTGGGGGATCGGCAGCACAATCTGAGCTAACAGATGGCCGGGGCGGCGTGTGCATCCAGTGGTGGACTGGGTGGGGGGGGGGGGTCTGTTCTGCGCGTGGTGGGGCCAGTTGCGCACATCTTGATTCAGAGATTGACGTTTCGAGGGTGTTGATGGAGTGCTGCTAGCTGCTAGCTGCTAGCTGCTAGCTGCTAGCTGCTAGCTGCTAGCTGCTAGCTGCTAGCTGCTAGCTGCTAGCTGCTAGCTTCTCGGGCTTCATTTCCCTGAGGACAGTAAAGCTAGTGTGTCGCGCGAGTGCATGGACCATGTGTGCCACCTGCGGGACCAAGCCAGCACCGACAAAAACAACAGGAGCTCAACACACCTTCAGGCGGAAATATACCTTCAACTCTAATCATAGGGGGTCTTCACTAAATTATTAACTCTTCACCCTAGCCTCTTACCTTTGTTTGAGGGTATTGGGCTTTCGAGCAGAATCGAGAAAGGATTTGCCCAGGTGCTCACACAAGTGTCATGCAGCTTCAGGACCTACCAGACAAGTGCTTGCGCCTCCAGACTCAACAGCATCCAGGTGGACGGTAAGCTCAGAGGCGGAAATCTGGCAGAGCCGGGCTCGGTTCGTGGCCTTGGGAAGGAGGAGCTTCCATGGAATGCCAAGCCAAGGCGCACACTCGCAGACTTTTTGCCCTCCCTCTCCGAGCGGTATTGTGCCACAGCTTAGTGACACGACAGGCCACACAGAGTGCGCCGCTAAAGTACGTGCATGTGCCTGCACCTGGCAACCACGACGTGCTGGCTGCTCAAGCGCAAGGGGTATGGTCCACCTTTGGAGGGTATTTACAGCGAGATGTGACAACAAGCCTGCACCAAGATCCGACATGCCCTCCATACTAAGCCCCAAAATCCTGCCTGAAACCCCTAAGCGCGAGAACCTTCAGGAGTCCCACCAACTGCTCTCTCAAGTAGACTTAAGCCAACATGTGGGCATCAAAACTCGGAACTTATAAAGGTCCATGAAGGCTCATGGGTCCACAGGCCTGCTGCGTTTCGGAGGATTGAAAGCCACATCCCATGGCGTTGTGATGATGCAGCCCCAAGGAGCCACAGAACACTGACCATGCTACAAAGGAGCACCGTTGTCATTGGTGAAACGAGTCTGCACAGCAGTCTGGATTATGACTGGCGCGTCTTTTGCGCGAGCTTCTGCATGCAGCGGCACAGGCTTTCTGGTGCTGCATAGAGCTAGCAATTCAAGTGTCGCACGTCTCATCGACGCTTAGTTGGGAACGTGGGCAATGGGTTACAGATGGTTCCAGGGAAGTTAGAGAAAGAGGGTGAAGCCGAGTTTATTGGGGGAAGGGCGGGGAGGGGGGGCCTACCAGCGTTTGTGGATGAACTTTCATGCGAAGACTGGGATTTCCACCCTGATTACCGATAGAGGAATGCCCTTCTCTTCGAATCAAGTGAGTTTGCAGGGCATCCGCCTCTAGTTGCAACTGGCGTTCATGGAGGGACCTTCGTCATCTGAAGCATAGCATTTCCCCACAAAGGCGACGGGATTTTATGGCGAAAATCTCTGTGAAAAACCGACTTGGCGGGGGGGATCTGTCGAAAGTATCAGGTTTTACCAAGGAGCCTTCACAAAGCGTAGGATTTGTAGGACTCGTCATACTGAAGTTCAGACCTTCGGCATCGCGTTTCCACGTATCATGTGAGCTCCAGCTGGTTTTCACATAGTCTACAGGAGCAAGCCGATCTATGTTGGGAATTAGAAGTGTTCTCAGTTCTCAGACAATGTGATTGACAAGGGCTTGTCGGCTATTGCGTTGGAAGGACTTGTGCACGCGCAAACACATTTAGAAAGGGGAACTCTCATAGAAAGGTGGTGCTTGAAGGCAATCTGTAGTTGCTGAGAGCAGCTTTTTTCGAATTTTGTCGTCGTTTGGGGATGGGCATTCAGAGTGACGGGATTAGTGGGGGAGTCTCTGCACACCATTGACAGGATTCAGGCCAGGCTTCCGTGGGCTTAGGGTTTAGGGTTTGGGGTTTAGGGTTTAGGGTTTAGGGTTTGGGGTTTAGGGTTTAGGGTTTAGGGTTTAGGGTTTAGGGTTTAGGGTTTAGGGTTTAGGGTTTAGGGTTTAGGTTTAGGGTTTAGGGTTTAGGGTTTAGGCTTGGGCGCGATTCCCGGGGCCCAGCCGACTAAGATTCCCAATCCGTCGGACCATAGAGGGGGGATTTTATCCCAAACAAAAATACTGTTGTACTACTTTATATTATAGTTATTGTCATTAATAGTTACGATGATCTCAGAAACCTTACACCACAAAATTGGCGATTTATTCGCAACACCCGCCCCCGATATGCATCCCCCACACCACCTCCCACCCCCCACCCCTTCATTTGGGTCTGCGAAAAAGGCGAAAACACAGATCTTGGGGGGGTTTTATGGGTTCGACTGGTCGCGAAATACATACTTGCATTTTTCTGAATGTAGTCTTGTGAATATACAAGGACCGCTTGCGGGATTACGTAGCCTGGCAGGAAAACGCCGCACGCAGACCTGAGGTTGAAATGAGAATTGAGAACTTGAAACAGTCATAGCGTGAACCCAAAGGGCCCAATGCCAAGACCCCCAGCTCACCCCAATGCAGGAATGAAAGCAGTCTTGAGGTATTTCGACCCTGGGCCTTTTGGGCAGCCAAAAAAAAACCACAGGCCTAGCAGATGAAACCTGGAGTGTGAAACGCTGCGGTCTGCCGCAGAGATCTACAGCCCCCCTGAAGGTTCCTTTTTTGCTGTGTGGAAAAAGGGTACCCTCGTCGAACAATGATATGCCTAAACCCTGTATTGGCCTCCAGGCAGCACAAAACCCTTCAAACCCCAGAAGCGCATCAAAAGCTTCTAATTGGGCTGCTCATCCTGCCTGGTTGCACAGCTTACCCCCCAAAAAAACACACTTGCAAGAACTCCAAGGGGACTGTTCGAAGTCTAGATCTCTCTTCAGGCACTTGCCAGCTTCGCTGATAGCGGCCCGGCAGCAATTAGTCGATTTCACGTTGCTGGATCTGTCACGGACTTCTTGTGCATGTTAAGTTCATGTTGATGTGCAGTGCTTCGAGGGGTAGGAGGAACAGCCGACACAAGACCGGAGGACAGCCCAGTAACTCTAGCAGATCTTGAAAAGAACCCGGCGCCACGACGGAAAAAAGCGAAAGCTTAGAGCCGTGACAGTGGGCTCTGCCGCTCTATTCCACAAAAGAACTTGCGATACGTTGAGCTGTTTACCTGTTTGACCTACTGCCTGAGATTGCCTGAGTCTACCGGTCCATTACAACATCAACACGCTTTACAGGTAAGAGATGAGCGGGAGAAGTACGCCTTGCAGGCAAAAGCTGAGCTGGACAACCGGCACGCCACCTGCTGTGCAGCCTGTGCAGGGGCATCCGCTTCGCGCAGCTGCTGTCGGTACCGTCTCTGCAAGAGCAGCAGCGCGAGTCCGGAAGTTGGATTCTGCTGAGGCATCACATCCTGAAGTCCATCCGAGTCGTCAAGTGCAAGCAACTCGGAAACCCTTCTAGCATTTAACATCACATGAACCCGTCCTCCGAAATCCAAAAGACCTGCAACTCCTCGGCAAAGCGAACGCACTTGCGGCAGCGGTGTCTTGGAGAGGTCGGCACCACCAGTACCAGTGCACCCTGAGGCTAGGCAGTGTAAGCCACACACTTCGGGTCTCTGTTTGAAGTTGGGAGCTTAAAGGTTTACGCTTTAGGCTTTAGGCTTTAGGGTTTAGGCTAGGCTTTAGGGTTTAGGGTTTAGGGTTTAGGGTCTAGGGTCTAGGGTCTAGGGTCTAGGGTCTAGGGTCTAGGGTCTAGGGTCTAGGGTCTAGGGTCTAGGGTTTAGGGGGTTTAGGGTTTAGGTTAGGGTTCAGGGTTCAGGGTTCAGGTTCAGGGTTCAGGGTTCAGGTTCAGGGTCAGGGTTCAGGGTTTCAGGTTCAGGGTTCAGGGTTCAGGGTTCAGGGTTCAGGGTTCAGGGTTCAGGTTCAGGTTCAGGGTTCAGGGTTCAGGGTTCCGGGTTCAGGGTCAGGGTTCAGGGTTCAGGTTTCAGGTTCAGGGTTCAGGGGTTCAGGGTTCAGGGTTCAGGGTTCAGGGGGTTCAGGGTTCAGGGCAGGGTTCAGGGTTTCAGGGTTCAGGGTTCAGGGTTCAGGTTCAGGGTTCAGGGTTAGGGTTCAGGGTTTTAGGGGGTTTAGGGTTTAGGGTTTAGGGTTTAGGGGGTTTAGGGGTTAGGGTTTAGGGTTTAGGGTTTAGGGTTTAGGGTTTAGGGTTTAGGGTTTAGGGTTTAGGGTTTAGGGTTTAGGGTTTAGGGTTTAGGGGGATCGGAATCAAGGATGCGGCCCGGCCTGGGTTCCGTTCTGCGTCACAAGTGGCAGTGACACAGACGGCAACTCGGGACTTGTTTTGGCGTGCAACACGACCTTCTCAGCCTGTCTTTGCTCCGCGAGCGGATAAGGATCCAGGGTTTGGGCTCGACTCAACAAGGACCCTGCCATCACAGCGATCATTCGAATGTCGAGGGTAATTACCCTCAGCCCGCTTACCGAATTCTCGAGATTTTGGGTTGTTGCTGCAGCAGCCCCCCACCCCCCCGCCCCAACCCTCCCTCCCCCACCACCGCCCAATTAAGAAAGCTAGCCCCTCAATCGCTTAAACTCAAGAAACACAGCCTCAATTTCTCAATTTGGCCCGCCCTCAAATAAGAAACGCAGCCTCCCGGCTTGGAAAATGTTAGCAATTTCCTAATCTGGGGGGGGTTCCCTCCCTCCCTTAAGATGGGTGGCTGTCAAAATCATAAATATTAGGTGCCGTATTATAATAGGGATCCAAAAAGGGACCATCATTTTGACCACCCCTTTGAGCGCCATCACGGGGGGGGGGGGGGGGTCACGCATGTCTAAGTTTTTCCAGATGGGGGGCTGGGTTTCTTGAGGGTGGGAGGGCGGACGAACATTCTGCAGCAGGCTGGCAAATGCAGTGACCTCAGAATCTGCCGTTTGGCAGCTAAAACAAATTGAGGGGCTAGGTTCTTGAAATTTACGCATTCAGGGGCAGGACTCTTAGATTGCATTACTTTCCTGAGCTTCAGAGGTTGGACGAAATCTCGAGGGAACCCTCAAATTGTTGGAGAAGATGAGCCCTCATATTGTTGAGGTGAGTTTTTCGAGGAAGCCACAGATACCCTCGTCGAAGATCGTATACTTCTTAGCCCGTGAACTTACTGTACCCAATCACCATCCCGAGCCTCAAGAAAATCTGAGCCAGAGCGCTTTCCCTATCCTGCGGTACAGTGCTTGGTGGTGGATACAAGAAGGGTTACCTGGGAACAGGTGCCTGGCTCTGCCGAAAGCGGTGCGGAGCAGGAGGACCCTGACGTTCTCCGAAAGGCTTTCGAGGGATAGGAGCCATGGCGGCACATGGAATCAAAAAAAATGTGTCCCGCTTCCCCCAGCCAAAGTGCCTGCGTTTTAGGCGGGGGTTGCTCTCGTTCTAAGGATCCTGTAACGGGGATGATGGATCATTGAGAAAAAAAGCCCTTAAACAGCTAGGGAACCCTTCCTACCTTATGGGTAATTTGGGGAGCGAGAATTTGATTAACGACCAACTGAACGAAAGCTCAGGACACGGCCAGAGGCCGTCATACCTCAGAGAAAGCACCGCTTTGGCAAAACTTAGGGTATAGGGTTTCGGAAGTATGTGTGACATTATCCGTCCCAGAAACAGGCAGGCATCAACACTGAGAGACAATCTCCGCACAGTTCAACACTGCAGTCGCTTTGGTCTCAAGGCTTCTCGCGCTTTGGTTTTGGGTTTCCATATGGTTGAGAGTTCAGGGGTCTATTCCTTCCACAGAAGAAGCCTCGTACGTTGGGGAGCGCACACAGGCATGGAGCATCCGACATTGAAGGGCAGTGTTCCCCAAAACAACCCTGTAGGTGATCGCATGCGATCCCATGCCATCATCCTGACCAAGAACCTGCAAGACGCAGTGCTAAGCCTCCAGGCTCTATCGCCTGTTGCACGCCGAAGCCTGCGGCACCATGCGCGCGGAGACATGCTGCAATATGCTGCCCGATTTTGCCATGCTGCACTGCTTGGAACAGGCCCGAAATCTCATGCGGCAGGTCCCCCGCATTGACAGGCCGGCACAAGAAGGATAATTACCCAAAGAGGTCCTGCATCCTCATCGGAGACACTCGGGCCCAACATGTCATTGGCCTGCAAAGAAACAGGAAGCGATACGGCGCGAAGTCTATCCGCGCATGCTTCTGGCAACCCATGCTTACACTGGCCCTAAACCCCGGACACCATAAACCCACAAGCAAAACCCCCCAGAACCTTGGGTTTCAGCTGGACTCTAATCCCTCAACTCCCAAACCCCAAACCCCAAACCGTAAAACCCTAAACCTCATAAAGTTGCACCTCCAGAAGTTCAGGATGCAGTGGCGTCGCCTCGGCTTGCTTCATGGTGAGCCTCAGGCCCCCCTGTGGACGGCTCTTGAAACATTTTGACAGGCTTGCTTGAGGCAGTTATAGTAGGAGTACACACTAACATGGCTTCCTGCTTCACCTGAAACACAGGGGTCCGGCGCTCTTTGGATTCAGGGGAGCTTCTGCTCAGAGAACCAAGTGGCGGTGACGCGCGGCAAAGGTGGCAGGGGGAGGCGCTTCCTGCAAAATGGGGCTGATGAAGACCCCTGTTCATGGCGCCGGTGCTTCTGTGACTGCAAAGATAGCCATGTGTGGTAGAATCCGGTGGACGGGACTATCATCTTCGCCGGCCTGCACCTACAATTTTCAGCTCACAGCTTTGGCAGGGATGCATCCGCAGAAGGCACTGCACACACAAGGGAGCCTGTGAGGCGGTGTGTTTTCTTGCTTGTCTCAAAGTGCCGCAGATGCAGTGCTGGTGGATACACATGCACTACCAAGAGTTTGCCTGAAGCAATCCATTGCTGAATGTTCTCGCACAAAAACAGGGCACAGAGTTGAGGAGGCCTTTTTGGGTGCACCCGCCGTGGCCTCGTTGCCGGCTCATACTATACCCACAATGTTCGCTTTGCTCAAACCCGAAACCTAACTAAACCCCAAAGCCCGAAAACCTAGACGCCTCCAAGCGTTCGACTGTCACCCCTGCCAACTTCGATTCCGCGCCTTCCTTTGTCTTGCCGCCGGCGCGGGCGCAGACCTCCCTGCATAGCTTCTGCGATGAACGCCTCAGGGCTTGCGGTTTTTAGAAGCCACAGCAGCCATTTTGCGGTGTAAATAATCTCTTTGAAAAGGGCCATCCAAAGCAGGACTTGAATGTAGAACAACCCCTTTGACATCTAGGTTCGGCTTCTTGCTTCTTGGCCCCATCTAAACGGTTTGGGGCCTAGAGCTGAACCCTTCGCACTCTTGTTACCGCTGATTTGACACCTCCCGCACCTTGCAGACATTGTCCAGGCGCGTCAGAGGAGATCTGCAAAGAGATTGGGCGAGGAAGTTGTGGGTTACAGGGTCGAGGTCGAGGGTGAGGGTGCGTTCTACATGAAGGCACTACCTCGTCTTCTGTAGCCTTATACATGCGAGCGGACCCCCACAGCTCTCACACATGCAAGCGAATCCACTCAGAGAATCTGCGAGAACAACAGAACACGCAGCAGTGCCACCTGCTGACATCTGGAACTTGCAAGCACGTCGGCATCTCGCACGGAAGCACCAATCAGCCTCATGCAACAGTGCCAGGTTCGTGCTGCAGGGAGCTTTCGTCGCTGCAAGAACATAAAGAAAGGTACTTCGCAACAGAATGCAACCGCTGCCGTAACGGCTTCAGCCATCACGCCCAAACCCTAAAAGGGTAGTTCTCTAAATTAGGGTCCCTTTTTGGGATCCTTTTTGAAAGGGTGCCGCCTTATGATGGGTACCCAAAAGGGACCCTAGATTGGGAGACTACCCAAATGACAAGCCCCCAGCCGGCCTGTATCACCGCCTCAGAGTCCCTCGCGGCTCTGCCTAGCGCCCAACACATTAATGGACCCAAACTTGGTGTCAAGACCGCCAAGAACTCATGCAACAGACAATGCACTAGCTGCGCTCTCTTGCAAAAAAGCTGAACAACCGACTTCACGCTGCAAAAGCAGCTCGCCGCCTTAGAGTTCATGGAAGAGTTGGCCGTGGAAGAGCACTCTTTCCCATCTCTCCCATCATGGGCATGGAGAGCCCCTTACCGCATCCGCTTTAAAATCCTGGGTGTAGTACAAGTGATGTTGGATGGAGTCGGATTTGAGCCTCTTCAAACCTCTAAACACCTTGACTTCAGGATTCCAAGCATTGGGTGCAGCTTTTGCTACGTCGGAGGCTGCGTAAACAAACTTACAAACCGGGTCTGCAAAGTGTCTTCCTCCCGCGCCTTGAGTTCAAGTGGCTCTGAGGTGGACACAGGCAACAAACTTCGTATGGCAAGACCGCAGTCCCGGAGGCCCGATTGCACCGGACCAACACAGTCCAGGCCTATCCACAATCCCGGTCCTAGCCATCTAAGCCCACCGGAAGACGACGCAGTTTTGTTCCGCCGCCGAGCAACTCGCGCGATACTGCCGCCGCCGCCGCCACCACCTTGCCTTGGTTTCCTGGATTACCCTTGTCCATGTCGTCCGCGGCGAATCGCGTTTGAGTCGCTGAACGCCCAGAGTCCGAAGCACACGGCATCACGTTCCGCCGTGCCGGGGTGATTGCTCACAGCCCACCGTTCGGCCATGTTCAGAATCCTGGAAGTACGTCCAGGACTCTGAACTACCTCTTGGAGAGGATGCTGTCCACTTTGTCCTGACACTGCTTGGGGTGCAGTTTGGAGTTGGCGGATACGACGTTGCGCATCGTGGTGCGCGAGTCCTTGGCCATGACCACATACTCGTAAAACTCAGGCCCATAGCCGCCAGCCTGTGCGATGCACTGTCGCTCACTGCTGCGATGCACTGTCGCTCACTGCTGCGATTGATAAAGTCGGGTCAGCTTCTGCATTGGCTCTGGCCTCCGGCATCACAGCCCTGAACTGCGCAAGCTGCTCCGGCGTCACTGCGTTCAGGGCCATGGCCCTGGCATCGACAGAATAGCAGTGCGAATCAGCGCATGAAGGGGGGGAATTTGTTTGGGAACAATGCGCATATTTGGAGAAAAGATCTGGGTGGTCAGTGTCAACGAGAGCGACATGTCGTCGGAGCAATGGCGCCAGGTGCTCCCCGCAATGATGATCAGGACCAGCACCTCTCTAAATTCACTGAAGTAGACAATAAAGGGCATTGTAGTCTCACCTTCATTTCAATCTAAATTGCGAATTTCGAGGGCTTTGAGGAGACGTGGCCAGTGCCCGAGCGCAACTTGATTTGGTCTGCTTTCACCTACCTCCAATGTCGTACTACGCGAACCGATTGTAAAGTAGCTCTTATAAGCAACTAAGCGCTCGAGCTGCCCGACTGCCTGCATGGGATGGAGCGCACGCTTCTTGCTGCCACCTCGGAAGAATCTATAAGAACTGCCGTTCTCAGGGTCATTGTGGGGGTGAGTACAGTTTGCCCCATACTGGGGTCGCCGCTCTCCGTGCACCAGTGCGCCTGCCGGCCCGCAGCCGTTATCCGGAAGATGGAGCCAAAGAAGAAGGTCACGGCCTGTGTTTAGAGCTCAATGCTCCCGTTCATTCAGGAACATACCGCAATTCGGAATCAGGACGTACTGCCGTGTAATTTAAGGTATATTCGATGTATATGCCCTAATTTCGGAATCTTGGGCTCCCGAAAAACATCCAGTGAGGCCACTGCAGTTGACGAGAGGGCGATGACCTTGCGCCACAAGCGGCACCGTACATGCCCACTGGGCTTGGCCGGTAATTTGGGGCGTCAAACTTTTCGGAAGCAGATGGAACAGCTCGGCGTGGGACGTTGAAGGGCATGCTGAAGTCAGGCCTCATTCTGTTTTGGGTGAGTGTCCCGCAGGATCGTTGAAAGGACACGCCAAGGGCCAATCACGCGCTCTTACACCGAAAGCATTCGGGCCCTCCACATTCCGATGTGTTCCCAAAGGCCCGCACATCGGCACCATCACGAGCATGCCCTCTGTGAAATGAAGCCTGGGTGCACATGGCCGCCACAGCCCTTGCAGTCACACCCCTGGCAGATGGGAGGATTGTCGGAGCTCTGGCCGTGCCTCCAGTTCCCATCTCGTGCTTGTCGGTCTTGGCTGAGGGCCCTCAGTTGCAAGAAGCAACCTAAAAGTTACGACACCCTCAAAACGGTCAAAGCCCGCAAAGCCGAAGAAATTTCGACCACGATGTTTGATGTGAAGCTGACTTCTCAGCGTGAGGCGGCCCCAAGGGTGTTATGAAGTCGGCCCCCACGGCCCCTGCGCAACATCAGGAGCCATATGGAGCCATTAACCGGCTAATAGCGACAGAGCTTTTGTGGAAGCAGCTGGGTGAACTCTCCAGCTCTTGGTGGACCTGTACCAACGACGTCCAGATCCGCATCCAGCCAAACAGCGCCACCAACGTCAAAGCCCTGGACTGGTACATCGATGAGTGTGAGAAGGAAAGATGACAGGAAGGATACAAGCACGCAGCGCCTTCTCACAAGCATAGGAGAACTCGCGGAAGGTGATGAAGTTCTTCCTCGGGTGTTCATGGGGCGAGCGGGAGAGAGCGAGAGCCCTAGAGAAGAAGAAGCAGAAGCAGCCCAAGAGAGCGAGAGACGGGGAGGGACCGGGGAGGGACCGGGGAGCAAGAGACAGGGTCTGCGTTGAGAGCCCATGCTCAAGCTTTTGGGCAGATCGAAATATTGAAGCATTCCGACTCCTGACAGTGCGACACTGCTGCGGCCACACTTCTTGCTGAAGCGAGCGGCAGGACATCCAGGAAGATGCTCACAGAGCTGCCAGAAGCCAGGTCCTTACACTGGAACACACAGCAGTCGTGTTCGCAGAGTCTCGTAGTGTCTTCGCACGTCTTGGCCATGAGCCACGGTCAGAGAGAGGTCCGTGGGCGAGCGCATGCCATCAGATGCAGTGAACCTAGAATGCCAAAATCACCAAGATCACTGATTAGTGCTCAGGCTTTGGGATGTTCAGGGGAAAGCAGATGTCACTTGCCAGGTAACGTCAGCGCGAGGCGTCTGAAGGCATCCGCTCCGGCCAGCTCCAAAACCTGAAAGCATAGGGCTTGGCCCCAGCTGCGTTGGCAAGCGAACCTGAACCCTTCAACTATCGCCTCATCGGAGTTCTCGCTTCTCCAAACGGCCCGGATGGTGTGCCAAAGAGGCCTGGAATCCGCACAGAGGCGGCGAATCAGGCTTGCAACCCACATCTCCCCCCACCTGATGAAGAACGGGAGTTGGTCCTTGGCAGCCCACAGCAACAACGGTGCAGCACAAAGCAGCTAGGACACTTCAAAGCCCCTCACCAGGAAACGGATGTGGCGACCGTGTCCATGGTTGCTGAAGCCTCGTCGCTAGGACAATCCGCACACATGTAATGAAAACAATAAAATTGCTGCTATGTCCCATACGAAGTAAATAGCGGCCATGTGTTCGCTCGCTGCGGCCTTCCTGCCAGGATCTCAAGGAGAACATGGCTTGCGGGTGTGCCGACTTTATCTGGGAAGCACCTGTCCTGTGAGAGCATATCGCGCATGACACGCAAGCCTTTGCTCATGATTCTGTCTTCTGGGAGACCTCAGCGGTAAGGATCCAACAAAACTCTCTACCCTTGCCCACCATGGCTGGGCCAGCTCGGAGCTAACGAACAGCTTGGGGTCTTGCCCGTGAACAGCCTCGCGTTCTGCGATCCATGCAGTTAAGCTTGCTTCAGATTGCACAGACATCCCAAGACACAGCCATCTAAGAGCTTTGCTGCGCCATGTTCTCTATTTCATTCAGCCTCACAACTTCACCATATGGGGGTTCACGAAAATAGGGGGACCCCCAATATAGCCGCAAAATAGTCGGATTCCCTTACAATAAGGACCCCAATAAGGCACCCCTCATGTCGTAAACCCCCAGATTTCACCGTGCTGAAGGCCGATGCAAGCTGCGGCAAAGCCATCCTCCTGGCCACCTGGGCACCCTGCGCACTCGTCGGGAAGACGGAGACCTGCAAACACTCGAGTGTGCACGGGTACATGCGGTAGAGCTTTGGGATGTTCCATGCTAACAGCTCCTTGATAGGGATGATAGTAGGGGGTACTATAATCCCTATTAAGGACTGGGGAACATCCCAAGGTAGAGTTGAGATAGCCTGTCTCGTTTAGGCTGGAGTTGCCAAGCAGACAAAGTTCCAAACGCGCTCCAGACTGGTCCACATCGGGTCCGGAGAGATCATCATTCACAGAGCAGAGTCGTACTTGTTTTGGGCTTGGGGGTTTCGACTGCAGAATGTTCGTTCTGTGCCTTTGTGGGTAGAAGCGTGCCGTTTATATCATCGCAGCAGGAAGCTGCGGAGAACATGATGTCTTCATGATTCTGTGCTTCGGGCCTGCACCCTCACACATTGATACGGGAAACGGAAAAAACGATGCTCACAACAAGAAGCGCACAGATGTTCCTGCTGTGAAAAGGTTGGTCTGTCTCGTATGGCCCTTGCTCTAAGGCGGCAGGGGGGGGGGAAAAATTACCGGTAACATTTCCGGGTCTCTCGACGGGCATCTGGGAAAAACTTGCAAACCCACCCCGCAATCCGTGTAACATTACAGGCATGAAAGAGACAGAGAACTAAAGGATGTATGTTGAGGTCTTGTGTGGGCAAGACACACAAGCTAACATGTTACAAAGCCTGGAGGGGGTTCTGCTGGTAACATTTCCGACCCCCCGAAATGTTTCCACGAAACCTTGGGTAACTGACGCAGCGTCCCCCCCCCTTGGAAACATTTCCTACAGCAGGGCCATGTCTCTGTGCGAAGCCTTCTGAAGCAGAAGCCTTCGAAGAGGTTCCAGAAGCGAGTTCAGAAGCAAGTGCCAGCCGAAGTTACGAAGAACAAGTTGGCACAGAGCAAGTCGCAGGCATTCAAGGATTTGCATGAACCCTCGTGAGCAGGGAAGATTTCGAAACATGGATACAGAATTTTACATAAGTTCGTCGATAGTCCGGCCTGGATTTGCTGGGACTACTTCGGCGTTTTCCTTGGTCCCTCAACCGTAAACTGGATCCTACAACCCTGAAATAAAATCTCTCGGTGGAAACAGATGTGAGGCGTGCGAAGGCCTGGCCACGGGCTGTCGGCTGCGTCCGTGCTGCTGATGCTAGCCTACCCGAGGATGCTTTCTTTGTGATCCTCATTGTAAGGTTTGCAGGAACAGCAAGTTTAAGCAGTTTCTCTGCCCATCAAGGCATCCACACGTGACCTCTGTAGGATCCGTGGTGCATCTCCCGTGGACCACAAGGCAATCTCGGAAGAAGCCTGACATCCGTAAGCTCAACTATGAACAGTTCACCAAGGATAGCGCATACCTACCTGGAGACCCTGGCTCTGCAAGGAAAAGCATTCAGGTCCATGCATCGTTACCTTGTTCGTGTCGTTATTAGAGACTGTTACTTGAGATTACTATAGACGGAAGATGACGGAAACATCCCAAAAATTTCAGGGTTCAGGGTTTAAGACACCGAGCACCCAGCAGCGGCAGGGCAATTGTCCACTTGGCGCTCCTCGGAGCTTCCATAGATGCAGCCCGGACTCAACCCCACAACATGAGCTCTTACAATGAGCCAGGAGGCTGCAAAGCTCTTCAGCCAGTCGGGCAAACTGCTGGCGCCGCTCTCATCGGAGCTGGGCAGTACCTTCAAACAACACGTAGCACCTTTGGAAGTGTGAAGCAGGGTCTCTACTTGGATTTCGTGTGCAATAACGGCGCACCACATCCAGGGATGCGGAGATGACGGCGGACGACCTTGTGCCATTGCACGACATGAACAGTGTCAGTCGACGCGAGCGCATGGTGCGGAATTTTCGACACCCAACCTCTTCGCACGTGTGCGCGAACCGTGTGTGAAGACGTGCTCGGAAATCTCGCCAAGACCCTTGCTCATCTCGGGTGGTGACCAGGGACAAGGACACTAGCGGAGCCTGCCAAGAAACAAATGCACAAAGATCAAGTAAGTCAAGTGAACAGCTAAAGCACACTTACGATAGGCTGACCCATCTCATTTAAGATCAAAACTGGTCGAAAATCAACTTGTAAAGAATCACCACCCACGAAGCACCTGCCAAAAACTGATTCCGGGCATTGGGGTCCTGGGTGGCTCGGCAAATGGCCTGAGGTGGGCTTCAGGGATAAAGTACATGCGGCCTGAGCATGCATGGGGCCAGAGGGACTCAGGCTTTGTGTTACTTACGGACCCAGAGGCTTAAACAAACATCAGCCAAAAAGCCCCTAGAAGCGACACACAAAAGCCCAAACCCCAAACCCAGAACGCCTACAAACGCAGAAAGCCCCAAAAACCGAAAAAATTGAAAACGCTGAAAACCCGAAGACACTAAACAAAAACCCTGCAAACTCCAAACCGCAAAAAAACTTGTATATGTATATGTATATTTATTTTTTTGCATACGTGAATGCATACATGTATATATAGAAAGATATCAAGATGGCGCCAACACAATATGAAATGGCGCCACTCAAGACCCCTTGAAAAAGTCACTAGGAAGACATCGGCCAGGTGAAACTATGGCGCCACTTGGGTCTTACATTCCCAGATCTTGCCAGCTCACGTTTTGCCTGAGGCTGCAGAGCTAGTGCAATGCTATCTTGGAGTAGACCCGGAGGATGAGCTTCGGACGGTGGCTTTCCAAGCTTCTTCGCGGCTTCCTTAATTTCCCTGTCAATGCAGACAGGATTGACTGGAAGTGGAGTCTGGCATGCACGGGAACGCGCCTCTCGTTCTCTGCATCCTGCATGCTGTGAGTGATGTTCTGCGCCTGCTTTTTGGAACTTGTCTTGATCGTTTCTTTCCTGCGCAGAAGCAAGTTGTGAAGTGTTCCAACAATTGAGGAATTGTTCTTGACTTGCCTTGGGACGAAGACCATGATCCAGTATCTCTGAACAAACTGAAATCTAGCTGATAATGCTGTGAGCGAAAGGGCTGACGGAACACGTTTGCTTCGACGCTCATGCTTTCAGCCGAGGATGTGATCGATTACCAATTTGAGGGCCTGGAGGAGGTTAGTAGGTCCAGGGGAGGCTTAAAGGAAGCTAAGCATGGGGCCCAAAAGCTAAAGGAGATGAAGCCTGGGTTCTCAAGGCTCTAAAGGAGGTGAAACCTGAAGCTCTCGGGGGCTCTAAGGGAGGTGAAGGCTGGAGCTCTCAAGATAAACATCTTCGAAACGTGCCGATGTAAGTGAAACCTGGTCTCTCGCATGGAAGCCAAGCAGGTGAAACTTCCAACTGTTGAAGCATATCAAAAAAGGTACAACGGGGAACTATCAGATGGCACCAAAGTACTTGCAACCTGAAACTCACTGGAGCTACCGGTGTCCCTAGAGAAGGTGGAACCTGGAGCTCTCGGGGTGCTTAGAGGAGGTGAAACCTGAAACTTTGCAAGGAATAAATATTTTTCGGAAAAGCCTTGAGCTCTCGGGGGCCCTAAAGGAGGTGAAGCCTGGGGCTCTCGGGGGCCCGAAAGAGGCCTAAAGGAGGTGAAGCCTGCAGCTCTCGGGGCCCTAAAGGAGGTGCAGCCTGGAGGTCTCGGGGGGGCCAGAAGTGAAGAAAGCAGCCCTTGGAGGCTAAAAGGAGGTGAAGTCTGGACCCGCGTCTCGCTGGGCCTAAAGGAGGGAAGCCTGGACCTCTCGGGAGGCCTAAGCCTGGAGCTCGTGGGGTGAACGCAAAGTGAAGTCTGGAGCTTTCGGGCGGGCTTTTTACAGGGGGGCCTGAAAGAAGCTTTAAAGGAGCTTAAGCCTGAAACCCTATAGGAGGCTTAGGCTGAGAGGGCCTAGAAGAGGTGAAGGCTGGATGGGCGCAGCTGTTTGGGGGTCTGGACTTGAGGGTGCTGGGTTTGGGGTGATCCATGCAAGGGGCTCTTCCCATTTTTTCCACTGCGTCGCGCTTTCTCGCCCGTGCAGGAGATCGCTTCACTATCGCGGCTTCCTCAGGATGTCAGGCATCATGGTTTGCTGTAATGTTTCACTGGCAGTCGCAGTGACAATTGGATGAATTATGACTGCAACTTGTTCCGCTGACCAAAATGCTTTAACTCCTCGTCCATCCAGTGCCTAGACAAGCAAGCATGATGCAACTGCAGAAATCGGTCGCATTGATTTGAGACTTTGGGACGGGGGCGCCTCAGCCTTTTGCGAATGAGCGCACGGAGTTCCTCGGTAGCCGCTTCCATTAATGCCTGCAGCGACGCTGCCGTCAAGGTTGCAAGCTTTGGGGTGAAGCAGTATACTTTGTCGGCCTTTTGGTTGAGCGAGACCATATACGGTCCGAGGTGTAGGTGGGCATGTATCCATCTCGCATATAGTTGCTGCACCTGGCAGAAGAGTGCTTCGTGCCAGCATCTTCATGTGCTCAATCTTCAGCCTCTTTGGGACTCAGGGATCGGCGGTTCAGCGCCATGCTTGCCTGCGGTTGCACAGGGCTACACTGACAGGTTGAAGCGCGCCAATCACAGCCGAGGGCGGTACTCTTGAGCCACGATGGGGCCAGCGGCCATGAGGTGCTACCAAAGACCACCTGCCATGACCACGCTAAACAACAGAAAGACGTGTCCTCGCACATCAAAACATCAAAATCCTCAGGCAGCCAACCAGACCATCTTGGCGATTAACCTGCCAATTATAGAGAACCGATTCCTAATGCACTTGTTCGTTGGGATGCCACGCCTCCCCATACAAACATTTTGGGAATGAAGTGAAAATCGCTCCGAGAAAATCACAAAAAGAGGAACCAATGAGAGAGCGAGAAACTCTCTCTCGCTCTTTCTCTATCTCTCTCTCTCTCTCTCTCTCCCTCTCTCTCCTTCTTTCTCTCTCTCTCTCTCTCTCTCTCACACACACAACAGAAACCAATCACGCTCGCACGACGCACCGCTCCCTTTTTTTTGACACGCGCGCGGCTGCGTGCGGAGAAAAGGCGCTACTGAAAGCAGCCTTCTACAATTGCACAAGAAAAGTTGAATTCAGCAAAGATAATTAGGGTGGGCGGTTATGTGGTACCACCACCCGCAAACCCAGGAGTTTGCCTCTACAAAACCAAAAGCTCACCTAAACGATTGCAACAGAAAGCTAGAACCAACTCTGTTTGCAGCTACCAGAACCCAACAGCAAGAAAGACCTAGGCAAACTCCCGGGGGCGGGTCACCCGTGACACGTTATGGCTATGCAAAACTAGTGCCCAAAAGAGTAGATACAGTATCGTCTAAGATCTCTACACTATAAGCAAGCCCTCTTTGGGACTCAGGGATCGGCGGTTCAGCGCCATGCTTGCCTGCGGTTGCACAGGGCTACAATGACAGGTTGAAGCGTGCCAATCACAGCCGAGGGCGGTACTCTTGAGCCACGATGGGGCATTGACCTTAGACAGACGCATCCATGCACCATGCAGAGCATCGCTAGAATTTCAGGCAACGGCCATGAGGTGCTACCAAAGACCACCTGCCATGACCACGCTAAACAACAGAAAGACGTGTCCTCGCACATCAAAACATCAAAATCCTCAGGCAGCCAACCAGACCATCTTGGCGATTAACCTGCCAATTATAGAGAACCGAACTTTTGCTCACGACATGCTCACGACAGATGCTCAACAAAATGATCACACCTTCTCCGACGTAAAGCCTGATCCTCAAAAGGCAACAAAGCCTAAACTCCCCAACTGCCCCGACATCGCTCAGAGCAGCTGTGCCTTCCAGCTGGGATGAGTTGTCACCATCCCGCGCGTTGTCTGCTTTGATAAAGAAATAGCTATAGACCTCCGAGGCAATTTACCGGAGTCGGAAGTGCCAAAGAACATCTGAAGACCTGGAGACAGTTTTCGCGGCGTTCCGCGTTCGGCTTTACATTGGGATCTAGGCTTCCGGACGGTTCGGACGCAAGCCTCGAGTAATATCCATGCCATCTCAGGTTAAGGCCTGATCGAGGGCGATTCTTATTACCTTCTGCGGCCAAGTGCGCTTTCAATTCAATCACGTTTGGGCTACTGAAGTCCCCAACCGTTCGGCTGCATGTTTCACTTGTAAAGGATTTACGACCAGGATTTTGGCAAGGACGAGATAGTGAATCAAAATCTCTAGAGTTCAAATTTTGAAGATCTGGGAATCTCTGGATATCTGATTAAATTCTCCAGAATTGAAATATTGAAGATCTGGGGATCTTTGGATCTCGATAAAAACCTCAGATTTGAAATATTGAAGGTCTGGGAATCTCTGAATATTGAATCAAAAACCTCTAGAATTCAATTTTTGAAGGTCTGGGATCTGGAAATTTAATCAAAACCTCTAAAATTCAATTTTTGAAGGTTTGGGAATTTCTTGATATCTGACCAAAATCTTCAGATTTCAAAGTTTGAAGATTTGATGACTTCTTCATATCTGATTAGGAATTGGAGTATTGAAGGTCTAGGAATCTCTGAATATTTGATTAAATATCGTCAGAATTCAAATTTTGAAGGATTTGGATTTGGAGTCTCTGGATATCTGATCAAAACCTCCAAAATTGAAATTTTGAAGGTCTGGGAATCTTTGGATATATAATTCCATATTTGAAGACCTGATGATCTTTAGATCTCGATAATAATCTCCAGGATTGAAATATTGAAGTTCTAAAAATCCCTGAACAATGAATCAACATCTCTAGAATTCAATTTTTGAAGGTCTGGGATCTGGATATTTAATCAAACCTCTAGAATTCAATTTTTGAAGGTTTGGGAATTTCTTGATATCGAACCAAAATCTTCAGATTTCAAATTTTGAAGATTTGATACTTAAAACCCTCAAACCGTCAACACCCTCAAAACCCTCAACACCCTCAAAACCTCCCAAAACCTCCAAACCCTCAAAACCCTCAACACCCTCAAAGCCCTCAAAGCTCAAAACTCTCAAAGCCCTCAAAGCCCTCAAAACACTCAAAACACTCAAAACCCTAAACCTGAAGAAACCAGAAAACCCTGAACACACAAAACCTAATAAACACATAATCAAAAGCCTAGAAGCCCTACTGTAGACCATAAAAACCCTAACAACCCTGAACGCCTGAAAAGCCCTGGAAACCTCAAAAACCCGACAGCCCCATAAAACACCATAAGGCACCCTGAACTGCAAACCCAAGCCGGCCCGAAAAGACGAAAAACCGTCCAAACACTGTGCTTGTGTAGGGTCAGAACGGCTTCTTGAAGAAATTGATTGATTGGGCGGCTCCGGGTTTGACATTGCCCGATACCCCTCACGGCTCAAGTCCTAGAATCCCAAAAACACCAAAGCCCATCCCGAAAGCTCTCGTTTGGACACACGATCGCGGAGGGTCGGAGTCCCCTGCCTCTGCCGCTGGGAGCACCAGCGACGCCAAGAGCGCGGCCAGGCCTCTGTGCCGGCCTTAGGGGGCTTGGCGGAAGCTTTCGGGGGCTTCCGGGGGCTTTCTTCCGGCCTTCTTTAGCAAAACATCACCCCTCGCTACTTAGATGAGACGCGTCAGCTCATTTCGGATTGGAAAAGATCTGTTTGGTGGGAGGATTGGACTCGAAGGCGCTGACTCTTCAGACACCCACCATCCGACATCTCATTCGACCTATTGGGAAACAGCACAGCAGAGCTTAAGCTCACGGCCACACGGAAGCAACTTCAACCAAGGCGTCAAGTTTTCCGTGCAAACCGGCTCGTAGGGCAGGCTTGCCTCAGCTAAAGGAATGGGATGCAAAAGCTCTAGATAAGCCTTTTGCCAGAAGATCAACAACCTTGGCGCCGGGCATGTCGCACGTGCTCATTTACTGTCCAGCTTCTCGGCAGGCTCAGTGGGCGCGCGCCAACGCCCGAGGTCAGGAGCCTCCAGCGACCAACATTTCACGGGCTTTAGAAAGGTGTTGTTCAAAATTAGAGTCTGTTTATGCGAGATAGAAGGGGGGAAGGTTGTTCAACCCGCCCCCGCCCCCCCCCCCCGCTTATTCAGGAAACTGGAAAGCGCGGATTCGGAAACCGGGGATTCGGGAAACTGGAAAAACCGTGGATTCGGGAAACCAGGATTCGGGAAACCGCGGATTCGGGAAACCGGTGACTCGGGAAGCTGCAAAGCGCGGATTCGGAAGCCGTGGACTTTCGAATCGAGCAGTCTTGAATCGCAGGATGTCGATTCCCGGAATCGGTCGGGACATGAAGGTTATCAACCCCAGTTTCCTGAATCGCGCAGTTTCCGGAATCGCCCAGTTTCGTGAATCGCGCAGTTCCCGGAGTCGTGCGAGGTAGTTTCCTGAATCGCACGTTTTCAGTTTCCTCAATCGCGCAGTTTCCTGAATCCAGTGTTTTCAGTTTCCTGCATCACAGTTTCCTGAATCGCACGGTTTCAATTCCCCGAATCGGTTACTTTCCTGAATCGCGCAGTTTCCTGAACCCTGGTTTCCTGAATCGCATAGTTTCATGAACCCTTGTTTTCTGAATCGTGGGGCTGGTTTCCTGAATCCTGGTTTCCTGACTCGCGTCCAGTTTCTGAATCGCGCAGGATCGGCAAGGGAGCCTAAACCCTAAACCCTAAACCCTAAACCTTATACCCCAAACCCTACTCCCCCCCCCTCCTTCGGCCAGGTGGGAGAACGAACCTCTTGGGGACTTTTTGTTGCTTTGTGGTATGGGGTTTCGGCTTCAGGCGCGCAGGGTTTCAGGTTAAACGGCTTAAGGATTCGGGCTGCGGCTTCAGGGGTTTAGGTTTGTGGGGTTTAGGGCTCTGGGTTTTAGGTTGTAGGGGTTTTAGGGCTTAGGGCTTCCACGCTTAGGGTTTCGGAGACCTTGAAGGTAGTCACAATACGGGGTGGGGGGATCGACATTTGCACGCTTTGGACAGTGTGGGGACTCCATAGGTCCTCCAGACCTCTAGGTTGGGGCAGGGGGGGGTTAGTTGGGGAGGGGCGAATGGCGACTCGGAAATTAAATCTTCTAGAAGCGCCTACAACGTAAGCCTTCATCGCCGCCCGCCTTGCAGAGGTCGGCGTTGTATCGCGACCCTCCGCTGCAGCAGTGACTGCAGCATTCGAAAGTGTGGGATCCATGCCTGGCAAAGGTCTAGGGTTCAGGATTATGGTTCAGGGTGCGGGTTCATGCATCGGGCTTCCGAAATTCCAGAGCGGGGCCTTCAAAGGAGGCGCAGAGCGCTCCTGCCAGCGTCGAGACCTTGCAGTTGCAGGTTCAGGGGGCACAGCAAAATCAGAGAGAGCACTGGACAATGAAATGGAACGAGCGCACCATGTATACAGGTAAACACACCTGACGTACCTGCACCCTTGGACCCCTTGCCCGTCGTGTCGCCCCTTCCATATGCCCCACCCGAATTGGAATCGGAATGTCAGTGCCTGTTCCTCTTTGACTGAACCAGAATTTAGGTCTTTCAAGATACGGATACTTAACAGCGATTCCTAGATCTCGTGCTATTACCCCAAACTGGTCAGGCAATCCGAATGAGAAAGAGAGAAAGAGAGAGCGAGAGAGACAGAGAGAGAGCGAGAGAGCGAGAGAGCGAGAGAGCGAGAGAGCGAGAGAGAGAGAGAGCGAGAGAGTGTGAGTGCGGCGAGTGCGCGTGCTCGTGCTCGTCCTCGTGCTCGTGCGCGTGCGTGTGCACGTGTGCGGGTGCAGGTGCAGGTGCGGGCGTCTCATGTGTCTGTGTCTGTCTGTCACTCTTTCTCAGCAAGGCCTGAGCCCTAATTAAACCAGACATTCCAAACCGCAGACCAGGAAGCTGAAACCCTAAACCCTAAACCCCTAACCCTAAACCCTAAACCCTAAACCCTAAACCCCTAACCCTAAACCCTAAACCCTAAACCCTAAACTCTAACCCTAAAGCCTCACCTCTAACCCTAAAGCCTCTAAACCCTAAACCCTAAAGTTTCCAAAGCCTTAAACACACTAGCCAGCCGAGGATCCAGGAAGCGGTACGCGTCGGCCAGCTCAGGGGAGCCCTTGTGCGGACTTTTTTGGTTTCTCAAGACTTCGGCCTCTTGGCTCTTGCATTCGAAGTTACATTCAACTTGTCTTTTAAAGGCCACCTTAACTTGGAAGTATACTTAGCTTCAAAGAGGTCAAGTCTGTCCGCGATTTGTCGTATTTTCCTTTCAGCATCTGTATCAGGCAGCATTGACGCAAGCCCTGCAAGACGAATCGGCGCTGCACAGCTAGACAACACAAACCCTCGACACCGATTGATCTGGTCGCACCTCTGTGGCATTGCTCGCCTGCAGCGCTGTGGCGAGAACGGCTCCTGGAGGGCGGAACCTGAGTCAACTCCACCGTGCTCGGTCTCCCACCCGGTCCCTCCCGGTCTGCTCCAGCTGTCGCATGCTATGGCAGCGAAGTCCTGCGGTGCATTTTGGCAACAAGAAGCTTCTAAGAGTTGTCGCGCTGGCTCACAGGCATCGGCCCCCGCGACACATGCATTCGTGCGCCGTCGAAACGGGGAAGGCCAATGCTTAAGGTACGATAAAGGTCATGAGGGCACCGCAGCTACAGTGAGCTGCGATACAAAGAGATCATGAATTCATTATCTGTGTTCTAAGCGAAGAGGCGAAGAGTATGTGAAACTCGTCACCCATGCATACAGCCCCGCACAGCTTTCAGCAGGACAGCGTCTTCGACTTTCGACGACAATTTGTTTTGCAGAGGCTTCACGCTGGCATCGAGGCGAAGGATCCCCTCGCAGTCGGAGATGTCGTGGTATGGATTGGGCAGATTGCCGGTTCATTGACTGGCTTATAGTACTTCACAGTGGGAACTTGAAGAAAGGGCAAGGCCAGGTTCGGGCAAAAAGCCCCGACCTCCAAGTC